TTCATCATTTCACGTCAATATATTATTTTTGTTTTCGAACCCCTTATTCAAAAGTGCTGGCTACGGGCCTGAAAATGTCGTGCATGAATTATTAGCACAAGCACACGGAGCTACTGTGACAAGATTGCTCAGATTTTGTCTTACTTAACCTAAACACACACGTTAAACAATGGTATTATTTTGTTCTTTTCACTGCGCACGCCTACAAAAATGATTGGACAATTTCGAAATGTGATCTGTTGGACGTAATTCGCTACTATGTACCAGTATGTTTTCTTGTTGGATGACATCCCTTGTTCCATGTCCTTTCATACATAAGGCTTGAACGTAACATATTGATATGACGTACTCGGAACTACGTGTACCTACTCGGGAACCGGTGTGCTCGTTCACACTCGGAATTAGCTACTCGGGGTCACTACAAGAATGACGCAATCTTAAAATGCACTGTGCTCGTTCAACGCGAATTGTTTCTCCTCCGATATCTGCTTAGCCGATTTCCGAATCGTGAGTCGCAGGTAAGCGTGTTCAACTAATCACGATTTTATCATTTTGTCATTTAATCTAAAGCTCAGAGCTACTAATGAAGCTGTTCATGTCGAGCTTGAAAAGTAGATTAAAAACAATGAAATTAACATTCATTTAAGAGGGTAATTAACATGAAAGAATCAAAATAGAGAAAAATATAGATAAACATCTGAAACATGATAAAGCTAAGTGGGGGATATAACAGATAAGACTAGCCACGGTTACTAGTAACCGTGGACTAGCTTAGTTTATTTTAGGAAGTTCAATAACAAGATAAAGAACTACGAACCATATATGAAGTCAGTGACAGATTTTACGGAGATCTGAAATTCAAGACGAGCTGAATTAAAAAGAAATTGGGAAATTAATACTTATGAAGACTGCACTTATGAAGGTTGAACAGAAAATGATAAAACTCTGTGGAACATTTTGTTCTTTGCTACAACTGTTTTGCACACGGTGCAGAGAGATACGCTAATGATGGAGACAAAGAAACCTTACTGAATAGGGGAAAAACAAAGGAAGGAAATACTCAGACAGTAGACAAACCTATAATGATGACATTTGTACAGCCATTGACAGAAAAGTCAAACAATTCCTTATCAATTCCAGAAAAGGTTTTAGACAAACCTAAAACTGTGTTGTTGTACATTTTTTTCCATTATAGCAATATTTAATATTTTTCTTTTTTTGTATTTTTTCCCTAATTCCAACATTTGAACCAATTTGTTGTTTAATTTATATTGTGATGCCACATTGATTTGTAATTTATGCAACTCTTATTTTTTATTCAAAAAGCGTTCAACAATTACAAAAATAATAATACTAATTTATTAAACTTTATTTTTAAACGGGAATAATATCATTGGTACATCAATCCACAGTTATAGAAAACGTGATAAATAGTACACTAAATATTGCATAAAATACTGTCTGCATAATATATCGCCCCGACAGGTATTTAGTAAAATAACACGTTAGTTTCTCTTTTCAAGAACACGACGCCAATTGTCTACGCCCGGGAGCGAGTATATCACTTGGCTCGCATACACCGTGCCCTGAGACATGTAGGAATATCTTGTTGACGCCGAACGTGGCTACTTGCCACATGTGCCAAATATGTATATTTGTTTACGCCTTGATTATGTTCACGTGACCGCTGCTACTGCTGATAGCTAATATGCAGTATTTATACTTCATTGTACTAAGACGGAAAACAATTGTGTGTTCGAATGGCGAGTTATATAGTTATATGAGTGTAATATATTAGGTGAAATACTAGACGCAATTCCTAATAAATACACGTCGCCATACCCATAATATACACATAACGGTCTAATCGTCCAAAAACAACATTGGACGCACTTATCACACTATTGCCTTGAAGGTATTTGCATATAGAATAATAATTACACGAATCTTCAATATTAATCAGGAAATGATGCAAACTCGAAACCCGTTTCTCAGGCAACGGCGAGTTGAATGGCAAACAGAGAAGAGATTGACGTACCCAGTTCTGGTGGCAACGATGTATACAGAGTAGTCGGGGTTCCACTGCTAACACAAAAACACCGAATAACTGCAATCAAAAGAACGACTAACACGGGCATGCTATCTCTATGGCAACGGGAGAGCAGCAAAAAAATGTCCGCCATATTGTTCGCTTCAGACAGATCCTCCAACGTCGGAGCGAGTCAAATAACTCTCCTGTGAAAACAAAGGCGATACATTAAGCTGATGAATTGATTCATATTATCGAGCGATCTTTCGGCGATCGAGAGAATCAATTAAAATATTAAGTAATGAATCTGTAATAAAACAACAATATATCACTATGCGCTGAAAGCCTGTCGATACAGCTGAGATTCCCTTTAAAAGGTTAGGCAAGTTGAAGGCGTGACACGAGTTTACACACAATGGGAATACTACATCAATCGCAGTTTTAGTCGGTGGCCGAGATTGAGCGTACATAACTATTCCAATCAATACACGTATTGAGGCTGAGATGGGCAGGTCGAAGACCCCGTACTACGCTTTTCGCTTTAAAAAATGGATTCTCGTCTGTCGTGACGCAGTGTATTGTATTATTATCTCAATCTCTCAGTTCTGGTTATAATTGTTACTCGACTATTACATAATCTGAATATTGGACGAGTGGGAATTATGTCGCAATTTGTCCATTGAGAAATAGAATCACTGGTACACTTTACTCAGAATCAGAGAGGGATAGAGAGCTAGAACATGTACGTGGTTTAACATAAGCACATGTGCAAGAATTACAAGCACAGTTAGTAGAACAGAAGGGTAAAGCTGTGACATCACGGCACTGACAATGTGTCAGTTATTAGATTCGGGAACACCGCATAAAATCACGTAATCCGGATCGATCGCCCATAATAACAGTGTGTTTTATTATAGAAGGAGCACAGAGAGGACTCGGAGAAGGTATGAGAGAGAAGATGACACTCACCTTTCCTGCCTGTTAGATGAGTCGATGGTACGTCTCACCACTAAGTCATTTCGTCGCAGTATATCTTGAGAAGCTATATAGTTTGATCGCCCGATCTCTGCTCACCACACACAAGGAGCGATACACGCAGTCTGGGAAGAAGTGCTCCGATATCGTAACTGACCTAATCTGTACGATTCAACCACGCATGCTCACCCAATTAACTAACTAGATTGTGTGTCGGTTTCCCTCGGCCGCAAGATGTGTTTCCTAACCCTCCGTTTCGGCGCGAGATTTATCGAGAAGACTGCTTCTTTAACTCAGATGTTTTTATCGCTGTTCATGGTTGTATTATGAATCAATCACTGCTAACCCAGGGTGTCGGATGTAATTACGACGCACATGTGAACGCCTTATGCTTCTTGTGTATATTAACTACGTCATTATTGTTAATGATGTGGGGTTCGGGGTGTATATATATATTTAACAGAATAACCTACTATGAATTTCAATGGCGTTTATTTGTGACTATGAATAGCATTAGAGGAGTGCGGCGTGGTTGTTGGCCGTATTGTCATGGAATAATAGTGACCCCCACATACTGGGATCAGTATATAACGCTGTAAAACTCAGACACTGGACAAAGCCTTGATTTTAATTGTTTGCTTTTTTTACTTCATTTAGCAGGACACTTAAAAACAAAATTAGACTGCCACTTAATATCGTGTAACTTATATTAAAATTCATTAATACCTGTTCTCAGAAAAATTGGACCGATTCATATTATTATACATATTGGAAATACATATTGAAACAATACGACCAACCATAATGTGAGCACTAATGTTACGTTTTTTGTTTTAGTTTTATTCTTAGTCAGTATATTTCCTCGAAAAAATATTTATAAACGTAACAGCTGGGTTTGGGAGTGCATTGTTCAGTTAGTATTTGAAATTCAGACCTTTTTAAAATATGACAATATTTATCGATGTTTCGGGTTTATACTGTAATCACAGATAAATTAAATGTCTAATACTTTAATGTTGAAAAGCGTACGTACAACAACACGCAGTGACATTTGGCTGTACTCTTATATAACAACAAACATAAACATAGGATTATTCCTTGCTTCAAGTTGTCACTCTGTACTAAACAGCTTCAGCCAAGCTCCGGTAAAAACGCGTTTTCCTGAACTTACAGGTCGATTATGTCGTGCCAAAGTGGATGTATGTGACTATGAATATCACAGCAGTGGCTGTGTGTAGTATTTATGACAATAAATAGTGTACGAGTTGAGATTTTGGCGGATAAAAGTCAAAAACACGAACCGGGGAAACCGGCTTACCAATAAACACCGTTTAATAGTCATCTTTTCACTGTCAATTGTAGTAGTAACGCGCTGTAAGTATTTTGGAAGTTTAATATTTATAACAGAACACCTATTTGTTTAAATTTGAAAATATTTATATACTGAATAAGTGATACTCAAAATCTATATACACAATGTACGATTGTGATTTGTTGTATTTAATATCGATAACTCCGAGTCGGTGAAATTACGTTTTCCGCAAATGAGTAAATAGTACGTACCAGTAGTTAAACGCGCGGGCGCATAATTCATTAATTTGTCGTATGATACGTTTAACTCTGTAGGCTCTATGGTTTTAACCAGTTATCAAGAAAACGTTTTGGTTGCATACGACTTATTTACCACTTCTGTGTCACTGAGAATGTTCTAGAACCGTACTGTGTCTGGGTGGAATATTCTATTTATTTTTTTTGAAACTGGTTGAATAGGTAATAGAACACTGTAGGAGGCAATGGAAGGTAATGAAACATTCTAGAAATTTGTAGTAAGTTCAAGACTCATTATGTATGCTGATGTAATGGACTATTTATAGACAGTGCGGGTATATATAGGGGAGTTGTTCAGCACTGAGATCACATCGGAGATCTCGTTGAATTGTATTGGAGTTTAAGTATCTAGTTATTGGAGTAGTGGAGTTTTACCGCGTTATTGTACTTGATGTTTGCAGAGTATAATAATACCAGTACCAGTTGAAACCTCATCTGTTGGCTCCATATTCGTATTTTATCATCGCCGCCAGGGAAGTCTTTCTGTTACTGTTGCCATTTTGGTATTTGAACCATCACACCTGTACTATACCAATTACGGTGATATTAC